CTGGTCCAGGATGCGAAACAGCAGCTGATCTTCATGGGGTTCCCGTAACTCCGTGGGTGAGTACTTAAGAGGCTCCACCCATGCCCAGAGCATGTCCTCAAGTGGGACAGCTCTCGGGCATAGCTCAGGGGATCCCCAAAGCGGATAGAGACCAACCCGGGTCTCGGGCTTCTTGCGACAAGTCGTGAAGTACTTAAGGGGGATGCGGTGTGGCGCGAGAAGCACACACCGAGCGGCCTCCAAGTTGTCAACGAACAACTGTTCCTTCTGAACAAGAGCCCGTTCATAAATGCCCCTAGAAGTGTGGGCGCCCACAAGGCCGCGAGGAGCGACGAGAAGCTCTAATAAGAGGTCGGCCCCAGAGCTCTCCTCGGGAGGCCAATACCCTCTTATGTTGATGGCAGCTCCCTGGCTGACGGGTGCCACCGCCGAACCCCCACGCACACGCTGGGCAGCTTGGAAATCCTCCTGCTACTGGTCAAGGTCATTCGTGACCTCCCGGGGCTCAGAGATAGCACCCTCCTCCTCTTCTTCTTCCTCCTTCTCCTCCTCTTCATCCGAGGAGTCGAAAATACTCTGATAGGAGTGTCGAGTCTCCTTTTTCTCGCGGAGTGGAGACTTAGAGGCTGTACGCTTCTTTGAGGGCTTGACGCCTTCGGCTTCAGAGGCCTTAGCACGCGCAAGACCCTCGGCAAGCGAGATACGTTTGCGAGGATTTTCTTCCTCATCGCCACCGGCTTTGGGAGTGCCCTTAGCCTTGACGGTCGGACTCTCAGAGCGCACAGACGTCCTGGGACTGTGATCACCTTGATCACTAGCGAGCGACTGCACGCTGGCATCCTTGTGCTCACTGGGCACTGGGCTGTGCCCTCCCGCAGAGCCCGCAGGAGCATCGTGCGTGCTCTCGGACTCGGCTTCGTCCTCACTGGCAGAGTTGATCTCACGCTCTACGAACCGAGGGTTCGGGCGGTTGTCTGGAGAGGCTGAGGGCGACGGGCTGCGGCGCTTGCTTGCCCGCTTGCCCACAGCCGCGTCGCCCGAGGAACCGATCGCCTCGGAGAGCACCTGAGTAGCCTCCTTGAGTGCCGAGCCTTTGCCGTGAGGCTTAGTGCTCTTGGATTGCGCCTTACCGGCAGCAGCCTTGGAGCGTGTCTGAGCACCGCTCTTTGCTGTGCCACAAGGCATGGTAACGGTCGAAGTGGAGACCTAGAAGAAGAGCGCACAGACATCTGCTCGAGGCTCTAACTGTGAAGTTAGCCTCCGCCGCGCTCGCGCGGCCAAGTCAATAGTTTTCGACTTTGATAATGAGAGTTTGTGACGAATACCTCTTCATTCTGATTGGTCGGTAAACCGAACCTAAGTGGAGGAGGATGTAACGGGGTACGTAGCCCAAAGTGTACCCAGGTTACATGAAGTGTGACACTTCACACTTCAATAGTGTGACACGTCATACTTCGGGATACTTGGTACAAAGTACCAAGGTCGTTCAAAGCCAACCATTGGCTAACGACATTAGGTGACTTATAGTTTGTATTAAACCCAAGCTTTATCTCCCTATAAATATACTCAGTTTACAATCTACCTTATTTAGGTCACTTCGCTCTCTTTTAAATAAAGAGGGGACCTGTGAACTGAGAGTTTGTATACTCTCGGAAGATAACTTCCTCTAGCGCAAGGTGCTGTGTGACCCCATCACAAAATAAGAGAGCTACTGTACAATCGCTGTACCGAATTATGCGTAGATTTTATCTTCGGTACGCCGCTGCTCTCCGTAAATCACGGTAAGCTGCTACGTTTCTATGCTAGTAAATTAGAATTACAAATTGTGATGGCTATATGTCTTCGCCGTACCAGTGCTGCTTAGCAAAACCGATCGTCGATCATATCCAGATGCTGTGCTCGTTTACATTAATAAACTCACCGAATGTCATTATTAAAAATAGTACAATCGCGAAGTGGTGCGCCTGTATAAAATACTACAATTTCAAAGTGTAGAGGCAAAAGGAACGCAATACGATTATGTGGTCCCGTGGGTACAGTACATGAATGCATAGATACGTGTCATTCAACTAACAATAACGAGGCTCTCGACTTTTGGTTGTCAACTCGTATTTAAAAGCAGCTTTCAAATTGGACCGGTATGAAAAGCAAGGCGAGGATTTGCCGTTGTCCCAGTACTCTGCATGTAGCTATATTTAAACACTAGTATAAGGACCGTATTATCCGGTTACTACTAATATGTTATAAATAAATTGTTTTGGATAATGCACCTCGTCAAAGATTAGTCACTGTGGCAAACATTCCAGCGATAAAGCGTCTTTGATTTGAGCAAGTGGTCGCGTGATGACAACATGTTTTGCGTGAACCTCTCGAAGACCTGGCGTCTAACTCGAAAGATCCATTATACCAAAGCTACGATACACAAGGGGGGGGGGTCTTGACCGGTTCTTAAGGAGTTTCTAGCGATAAAATGACTTATTCGTTAGTGAGTTTGAGGCTGTGTGCACTGTGTCGCTTTGAACGTAATATACAGTACATGTTTACTTCGGTTCGTAATCCCCAATCATCTTTGCTGTACAGACTCGCATGTCAATACAAATGTTTAGAGCTTCAAGCACGATTCCGCTGTCTGTTTCGAACAAATCGATAGTACTTCACTGAGTAACACTGAACTCATTTTTCAATCTCCCACGGACTTCGCTGACCGTTTAACAAGCTCCACTGACGGATTAAGCCTTGTGATACAATATGAATTATTCCGCTTTCGGCACACGCAACAGCTCGGCCCTGAGCGACGCCGTGGTCGGCACTATCATGCAGCGCTCCGCTTGGCAGACCCGAGACAATCCGTCTACTAGCGTTGACGACGTCAGAGGCAACAGCCTCATCGCTGCAAACTCGTACCATCAACGCTCCAGACGCCACACATCCCGTCACGCACACTGTCAACAACCTTACCAGAAGTACACTGTCGAAAACCGTATGAAGACCACCGATGCGTCCATGGGTGCCGTTCTGTCACCCTCCATTGCAGAGCTGATCGGGCAGAGTGGTTCATCGTCAAGAAGAAAGCGAATTTCTTGCCTTTTATCCGATCTGAAGACCGTGAACAGCATCAGCGAAAACATTAAAGGAGCCAACAGTTTTCTCACTCCGGAGTTGCAACACGCCATCGTCGCGGATGCTTTGAAAAAGAAGATCCGCCATCGAGAGCGCTGTCGTATCAACCAGGCACGATACCGACAGAGACAACTGCAAGTCGAAACGGATATTGAAGATGCGATCCACAAACTCAAGTCGGAAATAAAACAGCTCGACAACAAGACCTACAATGAAACTCGACAGCCAACAGCGCCGACAAGTTGGGCTCTGGCATCCGACTATTTCCGTCAGCTCAATTACTACGTGTCCTCTCCTGAAAAGCTGTACAAGTCGGCATTCAAGTTCATCCATGAGTTCATGGCGCCGGATGTCGAGGACAGCTCGTCATTTGAAGCTGACGAGTGGCTCAAGAACTGGAGATTGTCCGCCACGTACTTTGAAGATGTCCACGTGGAGGTAAAGGGCATGAAGACGCCAACGCCCGATACATTGATTGCTGGTACAACCACCAGCATGACCATCACATCCAACACGCTCCGCCTCGTATTCCCTCACCTAAACATAGATGGTGTCGGTGGCACTAAAGGTGGCGCGTGGTCACCCCTTGCTTCGAAACTGCTGGGTAAGAGGCTCGTAATGAGTGGCTCCGTCATTTTTCATTGGGATAGCTTAACCGGGAAAGCAACGAGTATTCAGTCGCGGGCGGACATGATAACGCCGATGCTAAAGCTGTTAGGTAGCTTAGAGGACGTGTCGAACGCATTTTACAAGGCACGAGTGACACCAGACGGCAACTTCACGAGATGTTAGCTTTAGAAGAACAACGAAGCAGTTTGGAAGTGGCATACCAAGTAGTACCGCTCGTAACGTATGTCGTTATAAAATAGTTGCTACAGAAATCTGCCTGAATAAGGAACGCCTGATATAAATTAAGAAAGAGATTGCATAAGCTGACAATTCCCTAGCTAGAAACAGACTATGATTTCGGATCATGTGCATGTATTGAATTAAGTTAGGATAAATGAAGATTCGACTTTTGAATGAGACCAGAGTGATTCCAGCAGTGCTGAATCATGGAAGCGCTCACTTTAGACCATGCAGCCTCGCACCAGAGCAGTGCAGTTAGCTGGTCGACGTTGTACTGATTGCCGAGACCTTCGCCTAGGCGATCCAATTCGAACATCATTTTTTGCGATAAGATGTAGTGCTTCATGCTATTGATGATTCCCTGATCCAGCGTCTGGATCTTGGCGGTGGTGTTCGGGAGTAGCTTCTCAACACGGACTTAGTGGACGCAGTCGGCTAGTGAGCTTGAATGTAAATGTAGGAATGAAGTTCGGCTCGTAGGGCTTGAAGCGAAGGAGGAACACCTACTGCGCGACATTTTTAAATTGAAATCAAAGGATTGTTTTGTCAGTACCTTGCCCATCACTATCCCATCTCCCTAAATCTTTCCTGACTATAAAAATTGCGCGGTTATTAATTGAAACCCCGTTCCTTATTTAGGCAGATTTCTGTAATATTAAGGTCCACCCCAAATTTGCATTTCTAGTACTTCGAAGTGAATTTTCATTTAGCTTGAAAAGTTACACTTGTAACCAATCCTTGCTGCAGAGTCTCTACACCCAGTGGCTGGTTTTCCTTACTCGTGCAATTGGCTACAGATTCGTTTTTGCTAAACTGTTACGATAGGGCTTTCCACATCATGCCCAGGGTGTATTCCTACACTACCGGTACTGTCCTGTTATTCATACGTGTAGAGTAAAGACACCATTTAATACGAATAGTTATTATTAATAAGCATATGCCTGCATTCCTATACTCTTTTTAACTTGCTAAGACGCCATGAAGCCTAGCATTCATGTTTAGTCACAGCAAATCTGGACAGGTCGTAATACATGAACGAGGTTTGCTTAGGACTGTTGCACTTTTGCCTGAAAATCATTATCATTATGACCACTCCTGATTTAGGACAGCTGACCCAGATTAGTCACTTCATTAAACTTCGATAATCGCCAAAATTCCGCTTTATTCATTGTTCAAAAGCGATCGCGTAAAGGACGAATGACTTTCTTTACAACTGTGAATGCATTGGCGATGTCTCGCGGGCGCTACGGATACGTATGTACCCTATGTACTCAACATGGGTAGCCTAAACGACGTGACTTATTTTGTACATATCGACAACACAGCCTATGCACGATAAAGGGATCCACCCTATCCACGTGATAGATCCCGTTTACCTACTCTTCCAATACTTCGTAACCCGTTAATTACAGCTGGTAACTCAGGCACCTGGCTTCTTCGACTACCAGTTTTCAATTTGCTTCGACTATCGCAGAATGGTAAGCGCCTCACCAATCGCCGACATCCTGTGTGTGCAGTATGAATTCGTACGCTCTTCTTCCGCCTAATAGCTCGGCACTAAGCGACGCCGTGATTGGAGCTGTCATGCAGCGCTCGACCGTGACAGAACGTTTAATCGCATTGGGAACAGTGCCAACGTTGCAAACTCCTGTCAACAGCAGTCCGGACGTCAGACGCACCGCATCGAGCCATACAAAAAACAAGTCAAGGGCGCCCATGAGAGTCCCGCTAAGGTGTCAGTTGCGACGTCCAAGAAAACTGTGCTCTCGTCATCAGTCGCCCAGCTTATCGGGCAAACAGATTTAACTTCGGGGCGAAGACGAATTGCATGTCTTTCGTCCGATCTAAAGACTGTACAGAGCATTATTGAAAGTATTCAAGGGGCCGACCACCATATCACACCGGAGTTACAGCGGGCGATCGTGACTGAAGCCTTGAAGAAGAAGATCCGTCACCGAGAGCGCTGTCGTATCAACCAGGCACGCTACCGACAGAGGCAGATGCAAGTCGAAACTGGAATTGAAGATCAGATCAATAAACTAAAAGCGGAGATTAAAGACCTAGAAAGGAAGAGCACCGACACTGTTCTCCCTCCATCAACTCCAACGAATTGGGCGCTGGCGTCCGAGTACTTTCGCTTGTTAAATTGTTATGTGTCGTCACCTGGGACGCTGTACAAGATGGCATCCAAGTTTCTCATCGATACGATGGCCGCTGATGTCATTGATGGTGCAACGTATGGTCCGGAAGCGCAACTGGACAGCTGGCGATTCTTCGCCTACTACTTTGACGATGTTCGTGTGGAACTCAAAGGTTTAAAGACTCTAACTTCTGAATCACCTCTGTAACCATCACAGACAACACGCTTCGCCGCGCATTCCCTCATCTTAACAGCGATGGTGTCGGTGGGGCTAAAGGTGGGGTGTGGTGCTATAATGGTGAATAAGAAGATCGTCATGCAAGGGTCGGTAATGTTTGGCTGGGATAGTGCCTCGGATAAAGTGACGAGCACTTACGCGCAGGCAGACTTAGTGACACCACTGCTGAACCTGCTAGGTAGCTTAGAGGACGTGTCTTGTGCCTTCTACAAGGCACGAGTCACACCCGACTGTCGATTTGTTAGAGGCTCTTAAAATAACATATTTGCACAATCCGTAGTACTACCTCCGTGCGGAAAATAATGCACCTTGCCTATCATACTACTACTTAAATTGAATACCCCGCTAAATATGCTAATCTCATGTACATTCACAAAATCCCGTTTTCAAAGGTATTCGTCTAATGTGTGTAGGGGGGAGGGGCATGCACACGTGAGCCGGCAGACCCAATTGGCAAAATATTACTACAGTAGTAGATGGCAATGAGCAATTAAGGTCATTACTATTTTTATACATACAATTACAAATTACACAGTACTGTTGTGAATCTGCGATCGGGTGTAACTCGCGCCTTGTAAAAGACACAAAACACGTCTTTTAAACTACCTAACAGCTCCAGCATCGGACTTATCATGTCCGCCTGCGAGTGCATGCCTGATACTTTCCCTGTCGTGTTGTCCCAGCGAAAGAGTACCGACCCATGCATAACGATCTTTTGATTCAATAGTCGGACCGCAAGAGGAGACCAAACCCCGCCTTCACAGCCACCGACGCCATCGCTGTTGAGATGTGGGAACACGGGGCTTAGCGTCTTCTCTGTGATGGTCAGGCTGGTGACAGTGCCAGCGATCAATGTGTCGGGCGTTGGTGTCTTCAGGCCCTTCAGGTCTACGCGAGCGTCGGTAAAGTAGAGTGCGAAAAGCCTCCAATTCTCCAACTGCGCGTTAACACCAAATAGTAAACAATCTATGACGTCGGATGCCATGATCTCGCGGAGAAACAGGCGTGCTATCTGGTGCATCGTTCTGGGTGACGTAAGATAGCAATTGAGCTGCCGAAAGTACTCGGATGCCAGAGCCCAACTCGTTGGTGTTGGTGTAGGGCGAATAATGTTGTTGAACTTCGTTTCGAGCTCCTTAATCTCTGATCTCAGTTTGGCGATGCGACCCTCGACTTGATTCTCCTGGTGCATCTGTCTCTGTCGGTAACGCGCCTGGTTGATACGGCACCGCTGTCGGTGGCGAATCTTCTTCTTCAAGGCTTCCGCCACGATGGCTTGCTGCAACTCAGCAGTGATGTGGTGGTCGGCACCTTGGATGCTCGACATAATGTTCTCAACAGTCCTGACATCGGACGCAAGACACGAAGCTCGTCTCTGACCTGACGATAGATCTGTCTGTCCGAGAAGGTCGGTCACGGGTGATGAGAGCAGTGGCTCTGTGGCCATCTTGGCTGGAATTTTGCTGACGCTCTGTGCGGTATGTTGGTGCGTGGCATGATTAGCGAGTGCTCGGGACGTTTGAGGTTTCGACTGCTGCTGAAAGGCCTGAGAGCTGCGAACGCTGATGCTTTTGGTATCTCCAACGGGAGGAGCTGGTTTGCCCCGGGTTTTCCATGCAGGGCGCTGCATGACAGTGCCGATCACGGTGTCGCTGAGGGTGGACATGTTTGGTGGATTAAGAGTACAAGAACTCATCGTACGGCACAGCGGAGGGGTGGCTACAGGACCTCGGGAACCGATCATCGATCGCCGTGGGAAATTGGGAACTGAGAGTCGACTTGCCGGTTGATTTGACCAAACCATCTGTGGTGGATTACGAAGTGTGGCTAAAATCCGTAAGCGTGAAAGAGAGATACATGCACTATACATGTAGTAGTACTACGTACTGTAGTCTACCAGATATAAATAAGGGCAGTCAAACCTAAACGCGGCTTGGTCTATTGGTATGCTGTAAAATACTTCTTAGATCACGCGTGGAACTAAAGTTTTAAGTGTTGGAACAAATCATACACATGTTCTTGAGGACAGCAGGTTGATTGCATAAGCGTTGAACTTGTGTGGGTACATCTACATGTTTTAATAGTTTATTGTTGTGACTAATCTAGGACGTTTTATCCTAAACATCTGGTTCCACAAGTAAATGTGCTGGTTACCGAAGCAGCATAGTTACAGTGCTTCAGACTGCGAATATTAATAGTTTGGTAAACAGACAGCTTTTACATGGATATTTATACAAATGAAGCAAGAAAATCATTGGGACCTATGTAGGTGATCGATAGCCACAAAAGCATTTTGTGGACTTGTTCTCGACAGAATCGGTCCATAGAGGCCAAATTCTCATTTGTAGTAGGACATATTATCGCTCCTGGACCAAGGCTCGTAACATGTCAAGCAACAAAACGAATGGAAGATCTCGCCTAGACAACACCAGAAGATGCACTTGCCGTCGATACACACTAGTTATGCAGTAATATCTCCTAGGACACACTACCACAATGATAGAATATAACAGAAAGTAAGTTTAACCGTTCGGTTACGTATACAGTTCATGCTAATGGGTACCCGTTGTTTTTCGCTTACTGAAAGTAAGCATTTGTTTTTCGCTTACTGAAAGTAAACATTAGTATATTGTTGTGAATTTGCAATCGGGTGTAGCTCGTGTCTTGCAGAAGACACAAAACACGTCTTCTAAGCTACCTAACAGCTCCAGCATCGGACTTATCATGTCCGCCTGCGAGTGAATACTTGATACTTTCCCTGTTGTGCTGTCCCAGCGAAAGAGCACCGACCCATGCATAACGATCTTTTGATTCAATAGTCGGACCGCAAGAGGAGTCCAAACTCCGCCTTCGGAGCCACCGACGCCATCGCTGTTTAGGTGTGGGAACACGAGGCTTAGTGTCTTCTCTGTGATGGTCAGGCTGGTGACAATGACAGCGATCAATGTGTCTGGCGTTGGTGTCTTCAGGCCCTTCAGGTCCACGTGAACGTCGGTAAAGTAAAGTGCGAGTAGCCTTCAGTTCTCCAGTTGGGCGCTAACTCCAAATAGTAAACCGTCCATGATGTCGGATGCCATGGTCTCGCGGAGAAACTGGCGTGCAATCTTGTGTATAGTTCTGGGTGACGTAAGATAGCAATTGAGCTACCGAAAGTACTCGGATGCCAATGCCCAGCTCGTTGGTGTCGGTGGAGGGCGAATAATGTTGTTGAACTTTGATTCGAGTTCCTTAATCTCCGATCTCAGTTTAGCGATGCGACCCTCGACTTGATTCTCCTGGTGCATCTGTCTCTGTCGGTAGCGCGCCTGGTTGATGCGGCAACGCTGTCGGTGGCGAATCTTCTTCTTCAAGGCTTCCGCCACGATGGCTTGCTGCAACTCAGCAGTGATGTGGTGGTCGGCATCTTGGATGCTCGCCATAATGTTCCTGACAGTCTTAAGATCGGACGAAAGACACGAAGCTCGTCTCGGACCCGACGATAGATCCGTCTGTCCGAGAAGGTCGGTCACGGGTGATGAGAGCAGTGTCTCTGTGGCCATCTTGGCTGGAATTTTGCTGACGCTCTGTGCGGTCAGAAAAGAGTGTTGGTGCGTGGCATGATTAGCGAGTGCTCGGGACGTTTAAGGTTTCGACTGCTGCTGAAAGGCATGTGCGCTGCCAACAATGTTGCGTTTGGTATCTCCAACGGGAGGAGTTGATTTGCCCCGGGTTTTCCATGCAGAGCGCTGCATGACAGTGCCGATCACGGTGTCGCTGAGGGTGGACATGTTTGGTGGATTGAGAGCACAAACATTCATCGTACGGCACAGGAAAGGGGTAACTTGCGGGGACTCGATAACCGATCAGCGGTTGCGGTTGGAATTTGGAAACTGAGAGTCGAATCGCTGACCCGAATAACTTGGTCGTTTCGTGCTTGGTGGATTACGAAGTGCGGCAAATGTCGGTTAGCACGATTGGTAGGATAAATACCGGTAGGCTAAAGGATGCACAAGTTGTGTTGATTGTGCCTGCGCACAGAATCGGTACAATGAGGAAACATCCGATTACAGACTATTGCCCCGTAATCTCTCCAGTTTATTATCATCAGCTCGTAAGCAAACACAACACAAACTGGAGCTCTCGAATTACGATGCAAAGTACCTCCTTCTGCACGATCAACAGTAGGTTGCATGCCGCCTTTACAGACTCTGATACCATAGACGGACACAGCGATAAGACCAGCATTTAGCATGTTCATATTCTACATGTAACAAAATGAAGAACTAGCCTAAACAGGGCAGGCTGTCTACTTAAATTGACAAAGAAATAGCCAAATGATAAGTCTTGCTAATACACGTATCGATGTCAGCGTTGATAGCAGCAAATCATCCTTTTTACGTCTTTTGCGAGACGGAAATGCGAGTTGAGTCGTCTGGGAGGCGTTCGCGTATGCCTTCGCGGTCTCCGCGACCAGCATCAGCGCCCAAATCTATCTGGTCTCTTTACTGGCTACACACACTTTGAAAGCGTACCGTATTGTCTATTCCCTCTGCACGATATCCGGATATCGACAGTTGATTTCCTTACTGCATTCAATACTAGGGCTAATGCGGACACTGAGATAATATTCCACGCTGTCTAATTTTAGTGAGAGTTTGAACGAAGGATTGCTTATTACAATTATTAGAAATGGGACTAGAAAATATGTTTGCCATCATAAAACATGAATCTCTTCTTCTTCTAAGATAAAGTACAGTACTGTACATACCTAGGCTTCAACAACACTCAGCTTGAAAAATGAACGCTGGTACTAATGGATAGTACAAACAATGATGTTGGGGGTAAAAAGCTACTTTGCATCAACCTCACTTTCAAAATTGCATTTATATGCTCATATCGACTACAAGCTGTGCTCGCAAACGCTCAGTTGATTTAGAGCACCATCAATGCCGACATCATCGACAAGCTCGTGAAAGACAACTACTTTCATTGGGAGATTAATGCGCGGATGAAGCTAGCCCAAAAGGAGTCTACTCCCGCAGATTTCAAAGCCAGCGTTTGACCAAGTGAGTGATCGCACCATAGTTAAATAGAAGATCAACGATTTGACGGCCCTTCATGTGATCGATAGCGACGTCAGGCACACTTACCAAGTCTACATCTGTGGAGCTCTGACCTTCGCTGAGGAGTGGACCCAGCTCGAGGGGCACTTCAATTGGAAGACGCTTTGGAATCAGCCCCTCGTCTCCAAGAAAATTCATGGCTTCGAGATGGAG